CGACGGCAGCACAGACCAGAGCATGCAGGGAATTTGGCAATCCATCTTGCTCCCATGGCAGACCAAGGTGGAGTTTCAGCATCTGTTGTGGTGAATCAAGATCTAATTTGAGGAGATTTACGGCCGTCACTGCCACTTGCATGTGCTCGTTGCGTAGAATTTCGCGGAACCGCGGGTTTTTACTGTCGCCCTGAAGACCACGAAGATGACCAAACTTGTCAGCCCCTTCCAGTTGGAAGAGGACGCTGTATATGATTTGGCTGAGACGCCTTGCGCACACGTAGGCTGATTCTACCTGCCTCACGTCTTCTACATCCGAACAGCGCAGGTAACCAAAACTGTAGATGCCATTAAACAGCTTCAAGGTCGGGTGTGTTCTAAAGTAGTCTATCAAGGCTAAAGGCCAGCTGAGAGTTAATTCATAATTATCAGCGTCTCCTTGGCCTCGAAGGACTTGACGTGCGCGTTCATCGTAAGAGCTGCTTGTATTTCTGCTGTCTGGTCTAGGTCGACTAGCTCCGGAGGTGTAGAGACCAAGGTACTTCCCGTAGCGTGCAGCAGTGCCCTCTAAATCTACGGCGTACAGACTGAGTCCCCTGAAAAACTTGTCTTCAACTTCTGCCCTCTTATTTGGTGGGACCCTTGACAAAACATAATTGATCGCTTCCTGTAGACTAGATCCGAAATTGGATAACCAGGAAATCAGATTGCGCATTTTTTCCAGTTTATTGAAACGCCCACATGCGTCCACAGCGTTTGTGACCGAACTCGGAAGATAGGGATCAAAGTAACCGGAGGGGGCATAGTCATTGCCCCAGAGCACAGCAAACACCGGTCTGAGGGGGGCGGCTAGTCGCGAAAAGGATCCCTGGTCGGGCTTGAAGCAGGTTGTTTCAAGGTAGTAGCAACACTTTCGGGTATTCTGCTGTGAAATTCCGCGGGCTGCACAGGTCTCACATACCCCTTTTGCGAAGGCCTTCGGTGATGCGTCAAATGGGATTGGTTGAATACAACAGTAGCCACCGCAATCTTCCCAGTAATTTGTGAATATGAAAAAGTCAGAATCTCTGCTCATGACCGGACACTTCAACTTGATTGCCAGTTCTGCAACTGCATTGTCGGCCTCAAAGTCCACGAAGACAAATTTCATGTTGAAGCGCTTAAGAACAGCCACAAATACAGCAGGAATCAGAAGGCATTTGATATCAGGACGCTCCACGCTCTCGGCAGGCACTCCACCGATACTGCACGATTCCTGGAAAGCCGCCACACGTTGGAGATTATCCGAAAGTCGGCTGACGCAAGTATCGAACTTTGATGGCTGTAAGTGTTTAAAAATGAGCCAATTATAATTTAATTAAATAGTTAATAAAAGCAAAGGCGACATTCGACTCAAACGTGTTCGTTCATTAATCATATTGTTAGAATGATGTCAATTTGGAGAACAGAAGCAAGACATAAACAGTTGTGATCGCATGATTGGGAGAGTTGCGCACTCTTAGATTTTGGCTGGCAGCCAGATGAAAGTGGCATTAATGAGTTCACCCTGATGGTTCGATACAAAGGCATGTGGTCAAGGCTACAACAGCATTCGCTACCGAGCCAAGGCTCGTTGAATCGCTAAGATCCGCACATACAACTTTAGCATTGCGGTTGCTTGAAAAAACACCTTTGCCGCTGCGGTTAAAGCCACCCCAGTGATACCTGACTGCTGTACAACAATAGTCTCCTTGGCTTTCAATTAATTGCCATACAGTATACAAGTATATCTTTATTCATGAATGGACAATACACCCATTAGTTGCGGAGTACACTCGCTTGGCCTGTCCTTGGGACTATATAT